GAGAGACAGGGTGCGAAGGTCCCACAGCAGACAGAGGGTATAGAAGAGGGAGAATAACGACAGGCAGAGGAGAAAAAGACCAAAGGGTGTGAGAAAGACAGACACAAACACACACACACACACACACACACACACACACACACACACACACACACACACACACACACACACACACACACAGGAAAATAGATTGAGCAACCACATGGCTAAGGAAGTGAGACAGATCAGTAGAGTGTGTAAGGGGGGCAGGTCTAGTTTTCCAGGCCAAGTGAGAGGCAGGTGGATGAAAAGGTCTGGAGTCCAGTGTGGAGGAAGAGAGGGATGAGGGAGTGAAGAGCAGGGGAGGATAGGAGGAGGAGGAGGAGGAGAAGAAGAAGAATTCACAGGGAGCCTGTGGAGGGTGGAAAACCAGTAAGAAGTCCTTTTGGGCCTGGAGGACCAATACTACAGCTGCCAGCATTCACTTGCGGCAACAGTATGTGGACGCTGGTCGTTTAGTTCTCATTCTCTCATTCATTTAGGCATTTGGGGCTTGAGATGCACTGCTATACAAAGCAATTCAATCATAGCAACTTAGAGCAATAGGAGGACTTGTACTGAGGTGTCTCATGAGCAAATAATCAAGTCATTTGGGAATTCATCCAAAGTGACATCCGGTTAAATACAAGTGAATCTGTTCCTGTAAAACATCAATTTCACTGCATTTTTAGATATTAATCTGTAATATTTAATTTTTTAAAGATCTACTCGTCATTTGATCACCACTTAGCAGCAGTGACAGAAAACAGGAGGTAATGAAATACCTGCACCACACAGTAGAAAAGATCATGAAGGTTATCTAATCATATCAACCTCCAAAAAAAAAAAAGAAAAAAAAAAAAGAAAAAAAAAAAAGCTACAAGGTTCAGAAATTTATCAGTGTTCAAACTTAAGAGCAGTTGTCAACTCAGATTTCCCCTCAAAACTGGTTTTGGGTTAAAAATGTCACGTCTACTCTGAAAGCAGTGATGATCAAAAATAAAAGCACAGTAGTGCCCTCTGGTGACATGACTACATTTCATTAATATGCATGGGGCTCCCGCTGCAGGAGACACAAAGTACGAGGCACAGAAGTCATTGTCGCCTGGTGTGTAAACGTGGGATCGGGAGGTGCTACACATCAGATCCTTTTGAAGGTCACCGTTTCACATTTAATTCTGACCAATTGACCTGACAGCGCAAGTGGATAAGTCATCAATCACAAGAACAGCATGGATGACTCTGCTGGAGCAACGGTCAACACAGAAGACACGGGCCTCATTTATCGAGCCGAGCACAAGGTGAACGTCTTTGCTCTTTATTAAAAGTAGAAACATAAATAAATGGAGCCCCGAATCACAGAGAATCAGGAGAGTCAGAGTCAGGAATATACTGCATTCAGATATCAATCCTGTTTCTGACTGAACTTCACTGAGCGTAGAAGTGATTTACAAAAGAAATACAGCCACATAATCTTTGACAGTTTTTCATCTCAGTGCTATCAGATTGATCAAATGGAGAATGATATACAGTAAAAACAATTCAGGCTTGTGCGTAAATTTGAGAAATGTTCGTCAAATCACTACGACCATTTTCAAGCTTGTGTCACGACTGCTGCTGACATTAAATATATTACAAGTTCAATATTGACTCAAATCCAACAAATCCCTAAACATGGAGATTGATCGTGCAGTGTAAGTAACCTGTTTGATAAATGAGGCCCAGTGTGATTGAAATCTGCTGATCTCGAGAGAATCTCAAACAGGAAATGATTTCCCAGCCGTCTGTTGGCTTTATTATTGGTTAGAGTGAGGAGGTCGCCCCCTGTCTCTGCTGGTTAAAAATATCTATATAATGTGTCTTATATTAACACACTACTGATAAAACAACTCGTTTTAGCATTTCTGCAGTGAAAACCTATTTTTTACCACTGGATAGAGGAAAAAAACTTGTGAACACAGAACCTGCTGAAAAACAGCTTTATGGACAGTTAATGACAACCTTGAGGGTTTTTTCTGAAAAATGAAGTTCTCAAGACACAAGCACTGGGGTCTAAAGATGGTTTCCTGAGATCAGCCCCCAGAATCTTCAGGCAGTAATCCATATATCCACCACGTTCATAAGCACACTGCTGCCTCCTTTCTCCGGGCAATTTAACACACAGTCCTCAGCGGCTAGGTCTATTAAAGATGACCAGTTATTAGACAGTTTATCAGACAGACGCCGGGTAGCGGGATGTCTAAGCTTGGAGCCCTCTCAGTGCCCGGCGGGAGATAGGTATGACCTTGCTAGTGCTTTATTGGATTCAAGTGCCTTGTGAGTAAAAACATTACTTTTATTGCATCAAGTACAAACACTGTTACCTTATCTCTCAATATGATAGGCAGTGGACGAAGTTGAAGTGCTCCAATGTTAGTGCAGTACACATTAGATATTAGGTTGATGGGGATCAGAGAGAAGCCACAGATGGATGTAAACCACAGGTGAACACTGGCACCACACTGCAACCTGGTATAACGGTCAACCCTCCACAATAACAACAACAACAACAACAACAACAACTACAGCTGGAAAATTTCACTTCACAACACCAAAGGACAGAGAGACACACACATTACAGAGAAAGTGGGTTAAAGTATATACATGTCTTTTGGAGAGGAAGGCTATACGAGGGTTGTCCGTCTCCATGGTTACACTCCATGGGAGAGAGGTGAGAGGTTAGAGGTCAGGAGTTAGTGGGACCGGCAGGGCTGTAGGGAGTAGGGGGGCATCCGAACATGCACCTTTGTGTTCATTAAAAGGTGACAGGATGTGAGGAGTAGCAGCAGAAATTAGCCTGGGGGGGGTTACAGGGCTGTGCTGCTCTGCTGCTGCAGTAATAGCTGAATGGCTGAAGCAGGGATGCTGTAATGTGCGTGTATGACATTTCCTACACTCAAATTTCCCAAGCAGATTATGAGTAATCATTAGTAACCATTTATGCCCTCCAGTCTGGTAACATTGGGTGGGTTGTTATTGTTGTCGTTATTACTATTGTTGATGGAAATCGCATTATACAACAATAATAAGTCTTGAAATGTGCAGTTTGTGTATATTTTGCCACAGTATGACATTTATGGAATGGGATTTTTCCAAAAGGCCTTTGGCTAAAGATCCCCAGTTACACATGAGTAAATTGTGTCTTAAGGAATAGAAAAATAATGGAAATTATGAATCTAGGTGGATTTAATTAGATGTCTGACATCATAACATCCACATCCGATGGTTCAATTTGATGAGTGGCTAGTGGTGGTGACTGCACAACTAGTAACAATGATGTGTGAGGAGGGGAGAGGAGAGGAAGGCGGGGAAAGGAAAGGAAAAGGAAAGGAGGGAAGGGAAAGGGGAGAGTGGCACTGCCCCTGCCTCGTTACAGCCCTGCTCAGGGGGAAGTCTCTTACCAGCCTTGGACCAAGACTCACTTGAGTGTGAGGCGAGGATCTCCATATGGGGCATAGGGAGAAATGTTTAGTACGAACTCCTTGGGCGGATAGGAGCTCCACCTCTGCTGCACTGTGCTGCTGTCATTGTTATTCCAAAAGTCTCTGTCTAGATCACTGCGGCCAAAGAGAGAGACAGGTCAGAGCAACACAACTATGGACAGCCTTGGCACCAACCAACCACTCGCAACAGCCGCTCCTGCTTTCGGAGATGAAGCGAGGGCTTGGTTTGAGGAAGAGAGTTGGTCTTACAACTGCATTGAATTGGAGTTTGACACAAAACAGGCCCAGATTAATGTCTATTTCTACCTGAAGTTGACAAATCACCATGGTGGTTCGATTTTAAAAATAACAAAGGGGCAGCCTGGGGGGGAAAAGGTATTCACAAGCAATGTGCTGTAGCAAACACAAAGAGAAATAGAAAAAAGAGATAGGTAGCAAGAAAAGAGTAAGTCATAATCTGATGAATACATACAGCATGTGATTACATTCTGTTCATCTAGCACGGCAACCACTGATGAAACACATTTGAGTAAACATTAAGAAGTCTGGCCCCCATCCTCGGCGTGAGCAGAGCGAGCGCATGAACGCATGAGACACAAGGCAGAGAGATAAATCGCAGACAGTCAAAGTAGAGGAGGAAAAGGTGAGCAGAATCACTGATGTCATACAAGTCACACAGCAGTGGTCAGAGCTGGAGAACAGGGACAGAGCAGGAGAGAAAGGCAAGGCGCGAAGAGAAGGAGTTTGAAGCTGAAATGAGCAACAGAGCACATCGATGCTGCTAGAGGCAGTGAGAAAGGAAATGCAGAAATTAAGAGACTGAAGAACCCAAGTCAGAATACATTCACATAGCCCATCTTTAGTGCTTCAAACCGTCCGTACAGAAAATGAAAAGTAAACACAGACATTCATAAACAGCTGAGACAACAGCAGGCTATAGAAGAGAAGTAGTGATGAGCAGGTTAACAGAAGCAAGTATCGCACTTAGCATTACAAAGCTGGCATTCTCTGGTACTGACCTATGGTCTTGTTTCATCACGAACAGAAAATACGTTAATCTTAGTTTGAGCCCTGTAAAAAATGTTAGATTGAAATCCTCCCAAACATTTATACTCCAACAGTTTCACAAAAAGGAGCTCCAGCACCCCCTCCGTTTACTTAAACCTGCACCATTTTAAGCAATGCAGAGGCGTTCCTAAAGGCCTGCACTTAAGGGAGACCTATCTTACAACCCATAAGATAAGTGCAGGAGCAGACCCGTCCAGCCAAAAGCTTCACAGGTAAGATAATGCAGATTTAATCTATACTGATTAAATCACTAGCCTTTCATTTAATGTCTGCCTGAACATGCTCTTGTAGAGATTGTGCTCTTCAAGATAAAAACAACAGGCCTCCTCTTCTGCCTCGTTTGTGTAGTGTACATCGAGGGACTCAAAGCTGAACCAAATGGAGTTCATTATCACCAGATTATTCTACCCCAACCAGTTACCAGCCACTTACTTGATGGCTTTCTTCTCCCCTCGCCCACGTGCCGAGTCTGGAGTGTCTGCTGTTTCCACTCCTGGCTTATTCCTCTTCCCCTTGAGCCAAGCAGAGGGAGGGGAAGACAAAGGAGGAAGAGAAACAAAAGGTTAGCTTAGATTTGCCCTTTGAAGCTGTGTTTTTGCTATACTAATTTCAAGTGTAAATGCCTCTCCCATTATCTCAGGAACACTGTGCCATCAGTCCTTTACCTGATGGTCTCCTGATTACACTCATCAAAGTCAAATCAAATCTGCTGTGGAGAGCCATTTCTGACTATGATTATCACTCGCACCACCCTGAAATTTACATGGCAATTGCCTCTTTAAGGTAATCCGCTGGGTACTGGAGAGAAGCCTCTAGAAAGTCCTGCACCAGCCTGATTTCAAATAGCTTGAGCATGACCTGCTGTAACCATGGAAATAATGGCAATTTGAAGGCTTCAAAAAGTGAGGTCTGCTGGGCGCATTCTACTGGAAAAGCTCATTACAGTTAAAGGTGTTCCACATGTGTCACAATGCAGGTAATCTCTATTGACACTTTGCTACAAGTGGAACAGGGAGGGGATCAGTCTAAATCTGCCCCCCCCCCTCCAAAAAAATACCATGCTTCCCTGAAAGTGATGCTCTGATACGCATCGAGGATAGGTAAGGATTCTCCAGCTCCAGAAAATGAGTGGGAGGAAAACACACTGAGTTGGCAACATGGCTTGGCCAAGTGAATCTTAAGTCGGCTGAAGGGCAATTTCCTGCGGTGGGCTTGCTTGTTTCTGGCTGAGCACGTATCTCCAGGCTGGAGATTTCAGGTTGTACAAAATCGACAATGTCCCCGTTTCCACTTCAGTCTGGTGAGAATGTGGTGGCCACACCTGCAGCCACTCAGCAATAAATGTCGGTAACCCACATGCACCGACACCTTTTTTGTTATTTTAGACTCTTTTGGCTCTTTCACACCCACACTGCACACACACGCAAACATAAATGATGACACATAGCTCTTAATTTCATACAACATACTTATTGTTTATTTAGTGCTTGTTGGAAATGCATGAGTTCTATTTTTAGCACATACATTTAGTTCCCGTTTGTATATTTAACATTTATGTTTATTTATGTGAACCTATTGTAAGTTGTTCTAATTCTGTTTTACCGGTGCTGGGGGTTTCCTTGCTTCTGCTGCCGGGGTCATCTGGCCAGGTTGGGCAAAGGGTGGGCCTCAGGAAGCAGGAGTCTCAAGTAGAGGAAGTGCTCATTAAGACTGAACCAAGTACCTGCCACATCATGGGGGGACTGGGGTTATTTAGTTTGATTATTGTGTATTTCTTTAGACTTAGGTTTGGCTTTAGGATATTTCTTTTTTTGTAGAATCTGTAGGAAATTTATTTCAGTCTACAGACTAACTGTCCTGTTTTGTTTATTTGTTAGTTAAGGTGTTATTGTTTATGTTAACCCCTCTGTGTGTACAGCTGGTCTGATCAACCAGTATATATGTTCCCTTTTGTTCTTTGTCTGTTAGGTGAGTTGAGTTCTGTCAGAGAAGTTGGTTTAATGTTAATTTGCTATCACAGACCGAGTTTAGTTCTGTTAATTTGACATATTTTAAGGGCCCGAAACATTTTGCTTGTTTTTGTAAAATAATTTCTCTCATTTGAGTAAAATACACCAATGTCTTCCAGCTCAGTCCCTCACACAGAAGCCATGAAAAGTTTGACCAGAGCTCACTGGAGCTCACATCAGGTTTGTGTCAGGTTTGCACATAGTTTTGAGATTAGGTTGGGTTCAGGTCTGTTTATTTCCAAATATATATATTTTTTTTAAAATGTATCTGTAATCTTTCTTTTTCTGACTGTTCTCAATGTGTGTCATGTGTTTCGAATACAAATACAATACCAACTAGGAAAAGTGTGGACAATGAATTGTTCTGTGCCACCATAACTAACCTAAGAGTAGCAAGTGTTGTGTTGGTCCCAGTGAGTTGTTATTTCTATAAGTCAACTTACAACTGCTAGAACGGCTGTATCAGTGTCACTCACACTCTTCTTCTGTTGTTAATTATCAAACCTGTAGATAGATAATGACTTGTATGTAGGAAGATGATGTTTTTGTTTTTTTTTTTTAATCCTGGAAACTAAACTCTGACTCTGGTTAATTATTTCTCCCACACGGAGAAACGGCCACCAACATCAGACCTATTTGAAATACTCAATGAGGCGGCAGCTCAGATGTCTGGAACCAGGCTTAGGTTAGGACTAGTAGCAGATGAAATAAAGCAAATGACTTGCAAAAGGGGAACTTCTCATTCCCAGTGATTCAGGGAAGGCCTTGGCATTTTTGAAACATTATGAATAGACAAAAGCCTGTAGAGATTGCAATGCTGTATATTATTCAACTCTACAATATGGCTGTTTTGTTAGAGCAGATGTGAAATGCACAGGACAATGGCTTCGTTCATCAGACATAAACTAGGGGGAAAAAACAAAGCTGATCTTGATAAAGCCTGACAGAGGTAAGATAATTTATTATCATGACAGACTATAGTGTTGTTTCTACTAAAGATGTAATCCAAAAAATAACGACTCGTTGGTTGGTTTAAGCTACTTGAGTTTTTTGCTGCTGGGCTGCCATGACATATTATGTTGGCCTAGTTTGTATATTTTATTTATTTTATTACCACTGACTGTTTTGACTTTTTTTTTTTTTTTTTTCTTTTTTTTTTTTTTGCAAAAGACCCTTTTGCTGTTGGGTTTGGGTCTCAGTTTTTGGCAGCGTCAGTCGGGTAAGGTCTGGAAGGCACCATTATCATGAGGTCCTGGTCTCAGTTTTAGGTCCATCTAGAAATCTAGACCTGATCGGTCAGCACAAAGAACAAAGAAGACACCAAGAGCAACGGTTCTTAAAAAAAGGTGCCTGTAAAATCCTTTTTGACCCACGGTATGATCAGTGCTCTTTAAGAGTGCGTAGCATATGCCCATATAAAACTGCCCATACTCCAACCTGTTCATGTAAATACAAACCCATTGATCCAAGCACTAAACTAAAAATACAGAGAGGCAATCAGCCAGAGGTTATGTACGAGTTTCTGACAGAGACTGAACTGACTCAGATCTATGATGCATGGAGTGCTCATAAATAGCAGGAGCGTATGGAAATGCAAGTCGTGCCACAGCCTATATATTGAGATTCAAAACCTGACAGGCAGACTGATGTAGAATCCATGAGGGGCCAGATAACAGATATCGTTTCAAACTACAGTCCACAGTATTGTGGTTGTGGATACTGTTGGTCCTGTTACAAAGCCAGAGTTGACAATAACACTGCTGGGCAAAATTGATAAAGCCCACCATGATGCTACTGTGCAAAAATGATATCCATCACACACAAGGAAACAAAAGCCGCTCATCTATTGTATAATCAGCAGTAACCTGAAATAGAAAGGTCAACAAATGAATAAACATAGATCTGACAGGAACGACTAGTTAAACAGCTGCATACAAGAGGTTTGTTTGTAATTTACACACTGACTTCCAGATAAACAGTCCCTCTATAAACTATCAAAGCCATGGATGTACTAAGTCTATAAACTGAACACATCACAACATGTCAGTGTGTTCTCAGCCGATACATTATTGAGAGCATTCGTGATCTTTTATACAGTAGCCTGCTTTTTTATAGTCTGCTTTAGGCGTGTGATAGCTATTATCATTGGCTTGACATGCTGACTGAATACATGAAACAGCGCCACACATAATGTCATACACCAATCTGAAAACGCAATAACGCACACAATCCACCATCGAGCTACAAAATATCTGCATGAGGTAGACTCTTCAAAAAATCATTATACAATTAGCACCACAATGTATTCTGTATTCCGGCATGACAATTTCTCGGGAGGCAAAACTGACTGAATTTCTGTCAGACGAGGACTAGCTATCAAAGGAAACTCATGTATGATTCAATGCTATCGTAAAATTTTCAGGAAGGTGGGAAGACACGGAGGAAGAGTGAGAGTCCAGGACAGAAAGAGGGGTGAGAGCTGGAAATAGAAATCAAATTAAAAAAAAAAAGACAAAGCGAAGAGACAAAACAAGGACAGTGCAGGGTGGCATGTGAGATGAAGGGAGGGAGGGACAGGTGTGAAAAGTGAAGTGAGAGAAACAATGAGTGGCAGGGAGTCCCAAGTGGATTGGATGTGAAAACAAGGAGGGACGTATAGACTCTGCAATGGGCACTGAATCCCTCAATCGTCTTCCACACACACACACACACACACACACACACACACACACACTAACACACAGTAACATACAAAGATGTACACAGCTTCAAAGCCATCTCTTCCACACCTTTCTTCCAGCTCATTCACACGAGTGGATAACAAACACTTGCTTCTATCTTCAAGGGAGGTGTGGAGGCTGCAGAAATCCATAGTGATGAGTATAACAAAGCTCACCAGCTCTATGGACAGGAGGCAGGAAACAATAAAGAAAATCAGCTCAGTACCTCAATGTGAGATTGAGCAAATAGAGCAAATAAAAACCTAGAACTAAGATTGTTTTTTATGTACAATTTTACAATTTTACATTCTAAATAAACTTTTACTTTCGGCCGAATAAATTGTTTGACTGACTATTTTTAGTTTTTAAACAATATTAGAGCCTCTCAGCAATATGTGTCAGTTTCATTATTCTTTTTACAAATATTACTGATGCAATTGAATCAGAAAAGTTAGACTGAGCAATTATGTACCATTACTCCCTGAAGGCTCTGAAAAGACCAGTCAATCAGTTTGAGAGTAGTTAATTATTTCTCCAACAGGAAGAAACAGCCACAAACATCAGACCTATTTGAATTACTCAACAAATCAGAGAACCAAACATCTGGAAACAGACTAAGGTTATGACTAGTGGTTCAGGGAAGGCCTTGGCATTTTGGAAACATTATGACTAGATAAAAGTTTATGAGATTGCAATGTTGTATAATAATTACTGCAAAAATATCACTGATGCAATTAAATGATCAGCAGTATAAGAAAAGTTAGACAGAGCGATTATGTAACA